GCCAGAAATACAGAGAGACGCGGAGCGCACAAAAGCTGTAAACAGACTGAATCAGCGACGAGAAAATGGCGCCGGACGCACTTCTCTGACTCAGCTGTTGAGCGCCGTATTAGCGGATCGCCATAAAGCGGAGCGCCGAAAAGCGGGGCCCTACTGTATGAGGGTTAAGCACAGGGGACATGTCTTTCTTTTTTCCATCTTTATGAAGTTAAGAATAGGGATCCCTGCTGGATGCGTATTGGCTGCTTTCAGTTGAAACCAATTGTGTTTGCAGGTGATGCCATTAGAAAACAACATGAAGACTCCTTCCCATTTCATTGGATGTCCAGGAGTTCTTAACATTGGAATGGCTGTGGTTGTGATGTTGTACACTGGAGTCGGTTTCTTTGGTTTCCTTCAGTATGGCGATGACACGAAGGGAAGCATAACTCTGAACCTCCCTGTCACTGAAGTGTGAGTATTGTTTTTAATAATTCTGAATCAGCTGAAGAGGTTAGTATCACATAAGACATACCCAAGATTTAAAGCTTACCCTTATTTTACATTCATTATCAGTAATCCTTGATCATTGATTAATGTCTTAAATGTCCTTCAGTTTAATCCTTTGTTGACTGAATGTTGCAGTAGAGGAGGCACTCCTGCCACATATTTAGGACATTTTGTGTTTGAATCCTGGCCCAGGTTGATATTTTTCTCAGTCTTTCCATATAATGCCTTAAAATAAACTCAGACCAGTTCCTTCCATATGCTTATCAGCTCATTTCCCAGTCATTCTATCATTCAATGGTGAATAAACTATGGATTTTAAGAAATATCTTTTAAGTGACTATAAATCAATGCCAGCCTGTCATTCAATCAGACATCTTTGGTATGCTAAATGCAAGCATAACTTGATAAAATGAATTCTCTTTGCATTGTTTAATATACTAAACCACGCTTTATGAAGGGCAATTAGGTTAACTGATATGTTGGTGTTACGATACGATAAATTTTCATGGTACAGCGAAAGGTTAAAGATTTTGCTTTGTTATATGTAAAAAATAAAAATAAAAAAGTAAAGCTGGCCAACTACATGCCATGTAGGCACTTGGGGGGAGTGGAGGTATAGCTCTTATTCATTCTTAACTTTGGCACTAGATAGGGGTGAGTGGTCAGCATCACGCCCCATTCATGCTTTGCCCCCAGGGAAGGACCCAGGATGAGAGCCAGTCTGTAAACAGGCTAGAGGAAAAATACTGTGCCTCTGTTGGTGATCGAAGCCTGGTCATCCAGTCTGTAGTTCAGTTACTATACCGACTGAGCTACCCCAGCTCCAATCTTAGTTAGATGTTCAGTCTTTAATTAAATGTATATTTCACTGTTGCGAGATATGAATGTGAAGGTTGTGGGAAGAAGCAGGCATGGCCAGTTTACCTTTTCTGCACAAAATGCACTAACTTAAAATTGTTCTTGCCATTATTATTTATTATTATTATTAAGTGTTCTGTCTTACGACAGGTCCATTGCTCTGCCCAAAAAGAGCTCTCCAGTTGTCCCTATTCTCGGCTTCTCGCCTTAATTCCTGGAACGTCATCTTCTTTCCTTGTTTAAGGTCGTCGGTTAGCTGTATCAATCTTCTTCCTAGTCCTCTCTTTCCTTCAACCTGGCCTTCGGTGATATCACTCATTAATCCATTCCTTCTCATAATATGTCCCAGCCAGTTGTTAGCTTTCCTTCGTGTAATCGCCTTCAGAATGTTTCTTTGCTCGTTGACTCTCCTCAATACTTCTTCGTTTGTCACTCGATCCGTCCACCTGATCTTCTCTATTCTTCTCCAACACCACATTTCAAAACTCTCCAGGTATTTCTGTTCCTTCTTCCTGAGTGTCCAAGTCTCTGCTCCATACGTAACACTTCACTAGTTTCTTCTTCATCTCCAAGCCCAACTTGCTAGTGAGAAGTATCCTCTTCTTGACGAAAGCTGCCTTGGCCATGGCTCTCCTTGCTTTTACTTCCTTGGTGCACAGGGCGTCCGTCGTGACTATGCTTCCCAAGTACTTGAAGTGCTCCACATTCTCCATCTGTTGGTTTCCAATTACAACGTTCAATGGTTCTGCTCTCGGTGCTATCCTCATTACCTTTAAAGACTTAAAATGTGATTTAACGGAGTGATTCTCTTTTATTAACGCCCAAAGACTGAGCAGGTTGATGTAGCAGTAACATTCTGGAGTTATACTGTGAGATTTCTTTGTGAGTGTGTATTCATGCAGTAGAATTGGATTCTTATCCAAAACTAGGTTGACCCAAAACATAAAAGTTAATTTTATAGCTGCACTGTCTAGAAATTTTAATGTATTTTTTGAGGTACGTCTCTGCCAGGCTAAAACAGTAATTTGGACAGCACATAAGCCATGGCTGGTAGAGGTTAAATGGACCGTAAAATAGCTTATTACAGGAGTAATGCACCACTGTAAAATTTTTCTGAAGATTCTTCTGAAAGTGGGACTGTTGTTAATTCATTCGCACATTATCTGTGCACTGTTTAGTCACTGACTTGAAATGTTGTCTGTGTCAACAAACAAAATTGAAAATGCTGTTTTGCTGTTTCAGTCTGGCTCAGTCAGTTAAAGTGATGATTGCAGTAGCAATTTTCCTTACATATGGACTGCAGTTTTATGTACCCATGGAAATCATTTGGAAGTCCATTGGACACAGGTTTGGTGCACACAAATTTGCAGCTGAGTACGCTGTCAGGACCATACTTGTAATTGCAACAGGTGAGTTAACCTAATTTACATATATATCACCCAAGTATCCATTTACTACACAAAAGTGTAGTAAACTCCTTTTTGATAGACATGAGATTACGGACTGGTCTGCGAAGAATATTGTTTCTGCCTTGTATTGACTGCATGAATATCTGATTTTATTTGAAACGTTTCTTAAGTTCTAAATTATAAATGTTATTAAAACTAATAAATACTCACTCGCTAGAAGTGGTATATCAAGTTTCTGAGCAGGTGGTAATGACTTGAGTTTTAAAGGTGAATGATCTTTTAAATATATCTGTTAAGGAATGAAATAAAGTAAGTTCTGAAAAGGCTTGTTACAACAAATCTATCGTCTGTCAACAGTGGCGATAGCTGTGGCAATACCGCAGCTGGGACCATTCATTTCACTAGTGGGTGCTGTCTGTCTGTCCACTCTTGGCCTCATGTTCCCAGCCATCATCGAAATTGTAACATTTTGGGATTCACCGGGCATGGGATCTTGTTACTGGCGACTGTGGAAGAACGTCTTCATAATCCTATTTGGAGTCCTCGGCTTCATCACAGGCACAATAACAAGCATTGAAGAGATTATAACAGAATTTGGAGGCACTGAGTGAACTTCATCAGTGCAAGAGAAGAGATGCAAAAGATGGGAGCAGTCGCTGCTTTCTAGTTTAACTGGTTTGGTATAGAGGGCTTTCAGTTCTGGCAGTCAGTAAACTGTGGTATTCTGCAGAGACTCAGGTTTTATCTACCAAATGGGTCTGATGACTGGTGTGTCAAGAAATTAGTAATTTCATTACAACATGAACTTTAACTTATATATTATACAGCATGCTTAACCGACCAGAGTTTCTTAAAGAGTAAACCCTGGTGATCATATTGATGAAATTAGTTAGAGCAGTCAACAGTATTATGCTGTGAATGAATACACTTTGGATGTATAAACAGAAAGTACCCTGGACAACAGCAGTAAAATACTGAGAAAGGAGTATCATTAATTTAGAAGAAGATCACAAGTCTTCCATTACCCTAACAGTCTTCTCTTTTTATTCTGTCTTCAGTTCATGTGCTCTATTTATATTTTTGAATGTGTTCCTTTAGGACACTGTTCTTCACAGAGGTTATCATATGTAGTTTCTGAACTTACCTTAATATTGTTTAGAAATAAACATAAATGAACGTATGTTCTGATATGTTTTGAATATTGTTTTCTGTATGCTATTTCTGAACACACCTGTTTGTTATGGCCTGAGCATGCAGAGACTAGTTCCACATGCAAGTGGAATGAATTAGTGTTAATCATGTAAATATTACATGCCCTTGCCTTGTAGTGCTAAGTTTTAGTTAGCAAATTTCAACGCTGACTACAGCAAGGTAGTGCTGATTCGCTACAAAGTAGTGATGCAGAAGATATGGTTATGATATTTCCTTGCTTTTTACAAGGAAGATCCCAATTATAGCCATTTAGTGAGGATGTTTTCTCAGTGGTCAAGTTCCTGCATTGAGAACCAGCAGTTGTGTGTTTTTATTGAGAAGGTAATGGTACTAACTGAGTTAAATGTATGACCACACTTGAGTTATTTTTATGTTTAAAGTGACAGTATAATTTTATGATCAAATTACACTTTTTACTTGTAATGACTGTTGTTTAACCTCTTAAGTGGGTTATTTTTATAATAAAATTATATACAACAATTTAATTACGTGTAAATGAATGACTAAAAATACTGCCAAATTCAAGGGAATGATACTCCTTGTGTTGTATATAACTGCCATTTGTATGCTGCAGGAGGAGTAAGTAATATGTAAATGCACACAGTAACTGCAGGTGGCATACTCATTTTATTACAGGCAAATATTCATTTCACCCACTTAAGTGGTTAATGTAGCATGTGTTTTAACTAAAGATGCTTGGTGTGTAATATGCATATAGACAGTGTACAGTACAGTGTTAGAATATTAGATGCATATGGTTGTTTTTGTAATGTTAGAGTCAACAGTTCTGTCTGTAGTAATATCAAAGTTTTAAGTATGAAATTGTTCACAAATTAAAGGGGAGGGGGTTAGAAGACAATTTGATGTTGAGTGAACCAGAGGTGTGTTACCAACTTTGAAAATGTTATTTAACCTATACCAGTAACATAACCCTATTTTTTTTGTAGCTGTAAGCATTTAGTTTTAACATGAAATTTACATTCAACTTCCTCTTTTATGAATGGCTGCCTTTTAAAATGTTTATTTTATTGGTATTATGTTTACATATTATCTGTTTATGTAATGCCATGTATGTGTCTGTGTTTATGTGCATGTGTGCGTGCACGTGCATCATTATGGAATCAGTTCAGTTGCAGCACACCTCTGGGACAAATTTTGATTGACAAGAGATCTAGCAGCAGGACCTTACAGTTCAGTTGTGGAGTAAACCTTGCTTGTTATTCTTGGACACATGGGATGTACCTGAAATGATGTATGACATGATTTTATTTATTTTATACGTGTTAGCGTGATGCTCTGTCAGTAGATCATTTATGGAGTCAGGCCAGGAATTACTTTCTGTTCAAATGACTTTACAGACACAAAAAGACAGTATTACGTTGTCTGTGCAGTTAAATCTTGATACAGTGCCCCTCTGTATACCACTACCCTACATTTTGTTCATGAATGCCTCAGAACATAAATTCTATACATAATTTTAAAGGGAGTACCCCAATGGGATGGCATCCCCTGCTAGCCACCATCCACCAATATATGTGGCAATACAAATCTACTGTTAAGCACTGTAATCAAGTATGATACAGTTCCATGCCATTTAGTTTCCATTGGATGTGCAGATAACGTCCTGGAATATTTTTGGTTTTAAAAGTACACGAACTTCTTCATTAACAAATAAGATCCACTCTGGAGAGTAAAAGAAAAAAAACACCTATATTATCTCGGGGAGGAGCTCGGTTGCTGCTTGGGGTCAGCGGTATAAATAGCATCATTCCTGTTCTAAGCACTTATCAGTACTTGAACCTGCTACTGAGAGGGTGTTTGATTTTACGATAGAAATATTACCCAATAAAAGAAGCTGCATATATTAACATTCCAAGAAATCTGGTAGAACAGTTGTAGACCTACCCCTTTGCTTTTGATTTTTGTTGGGGTTAGTGAACTCTTCCATAATGGAAGTGTATTCTGCACATTTTTAGTAAGTGATATACAGTAAGAAAGATACATTAGTCTTAATATAATTACCATGCTGGTCACAGTAAGGAAGTTAAACAATATACAGATACACATGTGTTAGTATAATCACAATCAGTGGCATTTGTCTGACATGGGGAAAAGTGCTGAATGCAATCTTACAGGATCATCTCAAATCGACCAGTTAAGGGATGCAAGGAGGCAAACGACAGAATTACCATTGCGGTTTGTGCAACTGAAGATGGGAATGACAGGAGAACTGTAAATGTGGTAGGAAAATCTGCAAACCCTTGATGTTTAAGCTTACCAACCCATCAGGTTGTAGTTACAATTTTGGGAATGGGCTATCCTGAATGAAGTTTTCTAGTTTTGCCATTTGACATAAAATTTTCCCTCAGTCCTGTCAGGTGAATTCTGTGGTAGTACCTTGAAACCTGATTCCTATCTTATTTTTCTTATTTCAGTGATACAAATCTTCTTTATATCTCACTAGTGGTTTATAGCATGCTCATGTATCACTGGAATTTGTCCATTCTTAAAACAATGCAAAGTTTTGGAAATGTATCCTTTTAATTATATGTTGATGCTGTATTTTGACAAGAGTTATTGAGTACCACAAGTGCCTATGGTAATTCCTGGTCTGCAAGATCGTCTGGCATATACATAATACTTATTGCTGTCTTGAATGTGTGGACACAAGAGTAGCCCTACATATAAGAATTACAGTTCCATAAAGTCAGTGGTGATTCTTGCATGCAAACTTTTTCCCTTCTTCATTATGAAATCATAAAATGCCAAATAATTGTTTTACTGAAGTTAAATGTTCAGTATTATATTGAAATTAGTCCTTTTACTGTGTGCTTGGTATGAAACCTTCATGTTGGCATTGAAAGGGTTAAATATTTATCATTGTATTAATAAATACAATTTTGTCAATAATGCTGTAATATCTAAATATCAGTAATTTGGTTTTAATAATTGAGATTTAATATGTATATCTGTATTGTTTAGATGAAGTCAATTACAAGAAGTGGGAAAACTTTGTGTGACCCACTATAGTCTGCCAGATATTCCATGTCAGAATGACTACATCACAAAACTGATCTTTTGAATTTTAAATACTTCCATGCATCCCACCAATGTATCAGTCTGCTTTGGTGTCATGTCAGTCCTCTTCAATATAATACACAGAGAGTATTATTTTTATTATTATTGTTTTTGTTGCAATGAGATAGGATTATGACTCTGTAGAAGTGGGTCGCTTACAGGCCAGTTGTACAGCCTCCAGATGATACTGAATGAATATGAAGCATTGAAGGAATGATACTGTCAGGGAAGAAGCCAAAGGATTTGCATAAAAACCTGTTCTAGTGCCACTTTATCCGCTACAAATCCCATGTAAACTACCCAGAGTGTCAACACAGACCTCTGCATTGTGAAGCCCACAACTAGCCACCTAAGCTATGGCACAGAAATGTAGATAAAGCTTCAAGAAAATATATTTTTGCATTGATCAATTAATCGACAAGCCACAATACATATATTTAAAAGCTTATGCACACACGACACCATGATCATATTTAGTGTTCATGAGGACAAAATCATTATATAACAGAAGCTTATACAGCTATAGCCTTTGAAAATGTGTGCAAAGTTCAAAAATTTGAGAATAAAGATAAAAAATAAAAATTGCATCCATGAAGAAATTAGGAGCAAATTAAATTTTGGGAATATTTACTACTATGCAGTTCAGAATCTTTTGTCTTCCCATCTGGTATTTAAAAATATGAAGATAAAACTCTATTCCTGTCTGCTGGTTTGTGTAGGTGTGAAACATGATATTAAGGGGAAAATACAGACTGAGGGTGTATGAGAACAGGGTGCTGAGGAGAATATATGGACCAAAGAGATGAAATAACAACAGGCTGCAAAAGATTGCATGAAGATGTGGCCCATAATTTGTGTTCTTTATCATTGTAAAATCAAAGAGGATAAATGGATGGGGCATGTAGCATTGGGGAGAATCCATAAAAAATTGTAGTTGCAGACCCTGAAGGGAAGAGATCACTTGCATGGTAGATAGATGAGAGGATAATATTAAAATGAACTGTAAGGAAATAGGGTTGGAGGATGTGGGCTGGATTCATCTGGCAGGCTCTTGTGTACACAGTAATGAACCTTTGGTTTCTATAAAAGTTGGGGAATTTATTCATTAGCTGAGTGACTTACATGAAACTTAGAAGATGCTCAAGAAGAACTGTGCTCCATGGAGTTCTTTTGTTATGTTGATATAAGCACATATTGTCTTCTTTGGTATATTTATACATTAGCCAATCTTACATTTTATCATGGTCCACTTTGATTCAATTTTAGCCCTTCAATTGAGAAATATTATGTTATATAATCTGTATTTCAATAAGTTTGTTTTTGTCATTGATATCTGAAATATCAGCCCTTTATATGTAATCATTGAAGAACTCTAGCAGTAGAAGACAGCCATCTTCAGACTCAAAACCACGAAAACCTCGAATCCTAACTATAGCATTTTTGTCAGTGATGGTCTTCTGTGTTGTGATGCCACATGGATGTGTAGGTAGATGCCAGTGTTTAGGGGAACATTCTGCCTTCATCTTCAGCCTACATGGCATCACAACCAAGAAGACTAGTATCAACATTTTCTCCAACTGTGAGAATCTCAAATCTCTAGTGGTATTGTGTGTTATGTCAATTCTGTCAGAAATTTTGTATATGCTATTGACAACATTGATAAGAAAGAAAAACTACTTGTGGAAAGTAAAAATATTGATTGTTATTGATGATTTGAATTTAAAATGTTTGTGACTATAATCGGGCATTTCCAAATGTTCCACAGAATCACCACTGACACAGTTACCTTGCTGCTGATGTGTATGGAGATCAAATGTTTCTATCTGTAATGTGACCAAAACACTTTTTATAATGAAATTAAAAGAGTAAGACAAGACTTGTATATGAAGTTTCCATGAGAAGTAAATTGATATTGCCCTATGCTTCAGCATTAGGGCAAGACGTCTCATTTCAGGGGCTGTGGGGTGAGTTCTTCATCTCATACTTTTGTGATATAGTGTACAGGCTCAAACAGAAACTGATATTTTCAAGAGATGTGTCTAGAAGCTAATGTATTTGTTATCTAAATGGTATATTTTTATAAAGCAGCTTTAAAATTCTGTTTTGATTTTGGCGCCTGAAATTACCATTTAAAGTATTTTTACTGTTTAATGGTGCATCTGTTTTTGAATGAATGTACATCTCCAGTTTTAAAGTAGGTTTGATTATATTATACAAACTGTGTTTTTGTAGAAGGATCTGACCGCTTGTGTAAGCAATTTAATCAACAGATTGTATCTTGTGTAATTTTGAAATGTATGCTACCATGTAAACTGGCTTCTGCCTCTAACTGTCCAATTTCTTGTAGATCAGGGTTATGCATTTTGCAGTTTTGAAACAAGGTGGAACCCTGCAAGAATGCTATTTGGTGACAGAACAGTAAATGTATACTGTAAATATAGCATCAGGCATATTGAATGAAAAGTCTTCATGTAATCTGGGATGTTTGTGTCAGTGGATATTCTAACTTAGCTATCATCAACCTTTTTTCTGTGATGGGCAATGAGGAGAAGCTTAAAATGTATATCAGACACAGTATTATTGTACAGAAGAAACCAAATGAAGTAACTTTATTATAACAGATTTGTGCCTTGTTTTCTTACAACATGACATTTTCCAAAACATTGTTTTGGCACACTGCAGTTTTTACGTACTCTCTATAGAACAGAGAAGTGTAGTATTAACATTTCATTGAAAGCCATATTTTAACGTTTAATATCGTTGGAATTGAATTGAATATGAAGATTTTAAAATTTGTATTATTATAAGCATCCCAGATCTGACTGAATTTTAAATTAGTAGTTTTTATTTATATTTTACTTTGTAATTTATGATTGTATCCTTCTGCAGAAACATGGTTTGTTAATCCAGTATTAAGCAGGAAGGTTCAATGTTTGGAAAGTATTTTAATATATACAACAATCCCACCCATAGGTTGTGAACAAAGACAGTATCAAACACTATTTTTGGTTTGATCTTATTATATTTTAAGTACATTAACAGAGTTTCAGCTATGGATTTTTAATGGCATGTGTATAATACAAGAACTTCTGTATTTGATTGTTACCCAGCAAACATACAAACTTATTACATTAACCTGAATATAAGGCAGTCTCAACTAAGAAATTTAAATTATGTGTATTCAATTTGTGAATTATAGAGAGCAATTTTACATTATCTGTGTTGTTGATTTGCTTTATTGCCATAGGATTATTTGGAATATTAATCAAAGAACAATACTTCTTAATGGCTGGCAGTAAGTATATGTAACTATGTATATTTAAAATTGAAAGACATCATGACATCCTAAAAATTATTTTGTCAGCAACTATCAAGATAATTTTAAAGTGGTCATGTTCACATTGAAGTGCTGTTATGTTCTCAACAGTTTGCCATCACCACATTTATAGATTTGCATGTGTGTCCAGTGTTTGGAATACGAATGAGATTAACTATGTTCATAAAGTTATGCATACATTTCTAACTATACCTTTAATATAGTATTTTCTATATGCTTTGTTACCTGCTTTGTATAGTGTTATATTTAGTATTCATATGGATCATTCTTAGGGTTACCAAATGTACAACAAGAGAATGAAGAAAACATACATAAAATACAGGACATTAGAATCAAGAGAAAACAAGTACTAGTCAAAATGAAGTTTATTGCCATAATTACACTTCTGTATTGAGTCAGTCTTTTGCAAAATACTCTTTACAGTCATTGATTCATATTGAACATAACAGCAATTATTCTGTTTACTGAAATGTACTTGGGATGTCACCACAGAAAAAATGCTGCAATTTTTAGGATTTTAGTTGAACATTAAATATTGTCTCCATTGGAATAGTTTGTCCATTTTTTATAATGGACATTACTACTGAGCTGTTCCAGCAGTAAAAATACATGAACTGGGAACCCAATATAATGTATTTTAATTTAAAGTGCTTTTAAAATTGAAACAAAAAATCCTTCCCCTCTTTTTTGTTGTTTTCTGTAACTGTATATGTAATTAAATACACACAAAATAAAAATATCTTACAAAAATAACCACTTTGAAAAGAAAGTACATGACTAAAGGTTAAAAAATTAGCACAAAAGCACATAGATAATGGTGGTCACATAATATTATACATGTTTGAGGGATTAGCAGCATCACCATTGAAAGAGAGTATGACCAAATGGCAGTGCCAGGCAACATGAACATTAAATAGCACTTTATATTGGATGAAGATAAATGAATTTGTTCAAACTGTTTCTAATAATTTTACATTTTTGCATTACAGATAAAAATGTAGACTTACTCACCAATTTTAAGAAATAAATACTGATGGCTGGACATAGCCTAAAAATATGGACAAATCCTGCCAGATATGGTCCACTGTATTTTAACAGTGTGAGATAAATCAGATTTCAAATTTGTTAAACTCTGAATCTGAGTTCACTTATGTTGTAGATACCACTGTGTTAGAGCTAATACAGTTAATGTATTATTACTTCACATAATTTAAATTTAAAAGTGATCTGTGCAGTGAGAAATTTCTATAAATATACTCTATGCATTTATTACAGTATATCCCATGACGTTCCTTGTCCTTTTGCACAGACTTATGTGAACCTCTCTCAAAATTATGTAACTTCATCTCAAATTGTGTTACATAACACCCCTTTTAAAATTCTAGTTGTTAAATTTGGGAAAAGAAAGACTGATCTGTCATGACCATTTTAATTCAGTTAATATACTGAGGAGAAAAGAATTAACAATGCCTTGTATTTAGGCTAGTAATTGTTATCACTTGTACAATGTTATTAACATTACATTTTAGTTTAAAGATTATTGTTTCTCTTGCAAAAAATGGTGAGACTTTAATTAATAAAGACTCTTCTGTAGAGAAAGGAAAGGTAGTCATATTGTAGAAGACAGCAACTATAGTTTTATCAAATGTTAATTCCAAGTTCTGGGAAGTACTTCATTCCTAATTTAGGGGCTTCATCTGTGACCTAGCACATTGTTGGTTTCAATGTTAAGATAGTTTAGTTTATTTAATATTAAGAAACATTGTGCATTTTTATAATTGACTATTATATACTGTGATCAGGATTTAGAAACATGAACTTTTCTGTACATTTGGAAAAAAGTGGTTTCTGTCTGTTTTGGTCCACTCAGAATGTCAAAAAATTTATTCAGATTACAGATTACTGGCATGACTTGCTATATATATAAATATAATACACTGTTAGCAAGTCATATGTTAATAGGAAATGGCTATCAGTGTGTGTGTGTGTGTATATATATAAGATATTGTAAATGCGTCATATTGTGATTATATATTATTAAAATATTTATTAAAAACTTTTGCCGTCAATCACAAATATAATATTGTTAAAAGATTAAAACATCATTTAACGTTCCTATCGAGTACTCGATTACATTGGAACTT